AATAGTGATACTACTACTACTACTACTACTACTACTACTACTGCTACTACTGCTACTGCTACTACTACTACTACTACTACTACTACTACTACTACTAGGCCCTAATTTAAAAAAAACAACAACTATTATATAGGATAATAATATTATGTTGTAGAGCGCTAATTCCCTCTTAACAGCAAGCCCTATGCAGTTTGTGCTTTGATTACAATCTATTTTCCACGACGACTATACTATAAAATCCACTGTCAGTTAAAAACTTAAAGATAACACACTTCCGTGGTGTGGGTCAAACATACCAGAGCTGTGTAAACACACACATCAAGCGCACGGACATGACGCACTGTGTGTCTCTGTCTCTGTCTCTGTCTCGTGTTGACTTCACCGACTTCGGCTGTCGTCTGTGATGACGTTTATAGACGTATAGACCTCGCAGCGTGTTATATAAACGTCAATACGTAATTATTAATGAATTCTTTAACCCCCAAGGACTGTAAGTGCCATGTTTGGCACATTAAATAAAATGAATGCTATCCCAGATAGTAAGCTTTGGTGTGGCCATAATTCAATGTTTTCTATCAGACTAGAATACTTGCTGCCTAGATATAGATAAATCTAGAATCATGATAAATCTTAAGAGCGAAGTCTATCACAATTATTCACAATCTATTTGATAATATTTACATGCACCATGCACCATTTAACATTTCATAATTTTATTAACTTTGTAATCAAGTTCAGCGTCTAGAGGTTTAAAAAGACGCACAGGACTCAGAACACATCGTGTGTCTGATCAGCATTACAAAGGCCGTGTCGTGGCACCTTTTCAAACTATCTTAAATAATTAATAAACTGCTATCCCGAATACATTTAGTAAACTATGATGTGCCATAATGGCGAGTTCTTTATCAGACTAAAAATAATACTTGCTGTCAAGAAATTGAACCACGACGATAAATCTTAAGAGCGAAGTCTATCTATTTGATATATATCTATTTACATGCACCATGTGTAATTCCCAATTTCATTATTTCGTTAACACGGTAATCAAATTCAACGTCCAGAGTCTAGAGGGTTAAAAAGACGCAGAGGACACACTACAATGTGTCTGATCAGCATTACAACGGCCATATCGTGGCACCTTTTCAAACTGTCTTTCACTATAAATCCTTTTTTTCCGTTTTAGTAAGCGGTTTAGAGAACTTGCAACACAATAAATTAGGTTGTATTATGAAAGCCAAAGATTAGAGGTGTGACACAAAAATAGAAGGAGGAGAGATAAGGACGATAGGTGTTTGATAGCAAAAAAGGTGCGAACCGTACCAGAGTACCCGCCAACTACCCGCTGTGTACGTCTTCGGTGAGTTAACGTATCTGATGTGCGAGAAAGGCAGTGCAAACAGATAGACAGACAATTAATCAGACATATAGATCTAAAGCAATGGCGTGTTAACTGTCTATAGGTGTGATATCGGTGCACATGATAATTATAGTTACGTTACGTCCATGAATTATTGTTATTGATCTAGACAATTGTACCAAATGTCCCCTAGAGTATCAATAAAAGCTGAATTTGACTTTGTTTCATCTATTG